CAGTAAATGAACGGTTTTAGGTTATTGGCCTTTTTTTTTTTATTTTATCCTATTTATATTACTTGCATGTTATTTCTATGCTATTTAATGTTTAAAACATTTAATTCTTCGTCAGTATTTGTACATAGGCTTTGCAAAATGTCAATATTTGCCAAACATAACTTAGGTTTGGGCTCACCATGCTTGAAAGGTTTTGATAATTTCAGTACCATTCGCCTCTCACTAATAATGCTCTTCTATATTAAAAGTCTAAAATATAGGTTCAGCGTTTTTGAGTTTCACCGCTCTTAATTTGCCAGTTTCTAGGATTTGAATTAGGTGACGAAAAAACTCAACAGTTTGTATTTTTGTAGTGTTAACTCTGGCTAAAAACGGAATCTGGAACGATCTTGTAAACGTCATGTAATCACGAAATACGTACCTTTAAAGATGCGTAAATTGGTATCTTTAAATGAAATATTTTAGAAAATGTAATCGAAAATTTGTGTATTTTTCCAAAATAGCTATATGTTATAATTAATGAAATTTTATAAATTTTGAAGGGAAAAGTTTAGGTATAGCAAATGGAAATAAGCCTTATAATATAATGTTTAAATAAGAACCTAAGACATCAATGTAAGTCGCGCAACATTGCGTGTTTGTTGTAATCATCAAGTCAGTCCTCGTTCATATCATAAATCAGTTTGATAGAAGACCTCCTTGAATTTAATTACGACAGGTTTTACAAGACATTTTATGGGTTCGATACGGAGCATGGTATACTGACATATTGACGAGACAACTGAGAGGTTCAAGGACTAATTCAAATAAGTATTAACTTTTGTATAGAAGAGAAGGCAAACGAGCATGCGACTCACCTGATGGTAAGTGACTACCGCCGCCCATGAGCAACTGCAACACCAAGGGAATTGCATTAGCAACTTTCCTCAAAATCTACCCTCGATTACAAGATTTATATATCAACAATACAGAAAAATTATTGATTCTTTTCTTAATTAAAACTCAATTTTGTAATGAAATCACAACAAAGTATAAATAACAATATATTCAATAAATCAGGCTGTCTACTGTCGTCTAAATTATTGATCATTTTACTACGCTTTATTTGAAAGAGTTTTCTAGACAATGATTTTTAAATTAACTGGATAATTGACTTGATTCATGGATATAAGTGGCCGAGGCACAGTGCCTTAATGATGATGACTTTTTTACAATAACAAATGAGCTACCCGATGTAGGTAGCTACTGCAGTAAATAGGTTCGATTCTTTCGATTATTTTTAGTAAAAAAAATGTTACCCCCACACTAGGATTTTCTCTTGTATCGTGGAGTGAGTTTACAAACATAGATTGCACGAGGACAAACTTGTTCCGTGCGGGATTCGAACCCGCGGCCCACAGCGCAACAGCTCATTGCTAAGCCACTACGCCACGGAGCCGTCATATCCGTAAACAATTTCAAATGATTTCTTGCAATGCGTTGTCACTAAGGACTTATACGTAAAACCTTATAGCGTATATCTATACTAGTTCTTCTGCCTTTAAAATCAAAACACATCGGTAGATGCATTGCTACTTTGTGGTGAAAATAGTTAAAGAGTGGTACCAATAAAAATAGACTCCTAGGCAGAAACATCCACGTAGTAATAAACGAAAGATATATCTATTGTACACTGCAGGTGGAGGAGCTACGCTGCAGCTGTATATGGCTACAGCACGAATGTAAAACCACTATGTAACGGTAATGAGAAATTTCACAGTAATTCTCAGGGGTGGCAGCATATCTGTTTTTTTTAAAACGCAACAAGTTGATAATTGTCTTCGTGTATAGAATCTTTCTCGTTGGAGATTATAGATGATCCGGTGTATTTAAATTAGCACCTGCAATCGAATGCTGTTAGCAAGAATAGAATTAACAGAGATATGATCTTACTCTTCCTTCCTTCTCTAATCATTGTTATATTTAATAACTCAATTATGACGGATACAGTTCATAATAAGTGGGAGGAGGCACTAGTAGCCCCAAAACCCAAAAACAAAAACCCGGTCGAGTTTAAAGATCTTGGGCCCATTAGCATTTTGTCATTCCTTGCGAAACTGCTGGAGAAAGCTCTTTTCGAACCTAACATCTTGCTTCATTTACAATCTAGGTAGTAAGTAGTAGTAGTAGCTTAGGTTTTGGTTCAAAGACGTAGCACAGCGACTGGTTTACTCGATGTTACCGACAACATATTATTTAAGCGAGATTCCAGTTACAGTACCATTCTAACGCAATCAGACTATTCGCGCGCTATCGATTGTCTTAATATTCGCCTTCTACTTGCTAAACTGTCATATTATGGTTTAGATAAAGACTTGGTTCAGTAGTTACTTAAGTAAACGGTACCAGTCAGTAAAATTAGTAAAAAGTCTAATGAACTTTCTAGTCTAATGGGTTTATTAATTGTGGTGTTCCTCAGGATTTAATACTTGGTCCACATTTTTTCATAATTTATAGTCCAGATCTAATTCAAAGTTATAAACCATTCTATATACCACGATGACGATATACAAGAATACTTGTCTGACTCATTATCTAGTGTAATTTATCTAAGTTACCACAAGGTGTGTGTATGTACCATGGCTTAATGAGGATTTGGACAGAATGGCTGACTGGCCAGTGCAAAAAGCTCTTTTTTTAAACCCTTAAAGTTAAAATATATGGTCATAGTCACAAAGACTCAAATAAGTAGAATTTGTGCTGGTCCAGACGTTAAAATTCATGGTAAATACATAATGCGGGTGGATAAAACTAAAAACCTTGTCATAACCTTTGACCTTATTAAAATTATTATACAAAATCCGTGACCAACTTTCTGTACCACAGTCACGCATTACTATTTTTGAATTATTAATCCTATCTAGGGTTAACTACGGAAATGTTGTTTATGGACCTCGGATTTTCAGCAAAACAGATCGAGCAAAATGCACGTTATCGGTTCTGTTTTGATACCCCCCCCCCCCCCTCCCTCCCCGCAGACGTCACATTACTCCTTTCTTGAACACTGCTTTTGTGAAGGCTTGTCTTCAATATTATTAAGTTTAAAAAACCAGAGTACTTGTATGCGAAGATAAAGTTCGTTAATCAAAATTCTGGAAAACAATTGAGGTCAATAAAGTCAGCACTCTTGTATTACAGACATAAAATAGCGGCATTTACTAGCAGTTTCCGTTATATAGCAACAAAATTCTGTTACTACATCCCACCACCAAAGAGAAATATTAGCATCAAATACAATTTTAAAAATAAATTCAAAACTTATCTTCTAGATAAACGAAAACAAGATATTTCCAGACACTTCGTTCGCTAGCTGTCAACCATGGCATTTTCTTTCTGCTAACTCATCATGACTGCCTAAGCCTTTTACTAGCTTTCACCTATATGGATTCTTTCACACTTACACACCCTTTCAGTAATTATACTAAATTGAACCCAAAAAGCAAGTCGTAAAGCTGAAAGGACACATCATTTATATTTACACTGATTATACAAATGTGCTCATTTTCGTCTCGTCATTTCGAGGGGAATTGCTGAAACTCAGTGTTTGCTCTCTGAATAATGTTAATCGCTGAGCTACGACCCATTTGTTAAACTGCAATATACTTGTGCATTTAGACCTTAAGATTATGTAATATTTTTTGTAATAAGTTACTTTTTATTTAGTTCAGTCACTGAATTTACGCGTGTGATTGCAGAAACAAATAAATGCTTTATCTATGTGTCTATCTATCTAATTGATTTATAATATACCAGCGAACCCAACTGAAACCACAATTACGATCAATTTACAAAAATAGGTTAATAGGTCAAACACAAAATATAATCAAGCTGTCCTGTGTACACACTACTAGTGTAAATTTAATGTAACTCTTATCAACGTTGATCATGTAAACATCCAAAAAATGCCTTATCTATTTGAAATAACACTTCACTATTTGCCTACTGTTATATTTATTACTAGCGACCGATCCCTGCTTCGCCTGGGTGGGATTAATAGATTAATTAATGTGGCGCCAATTAGATTATTCAAAATAACCATCAATGACCATTTATGTACCGTACAATTATGTACCGTGTAGTGGCGGTGTAAGAATGTATACTTACCACCTCAAATCATCCCGAGGGTATCGTAAGAGGCGAAAGAAGTAAACAAATCACTAGTAATATATAATGAGGCGCAAACAAATTATTGTGAAACTAGCGACGCTCCCCGGCTTCGCCTAAGTGAGACGATTAATGTGGCGTTATTTATATTTAAGATAATCATCAAAGACTATTTATAAATTTCTCAAAAAAAATATCCCCAAGTTTTTTTTTTTTTAGATAAAATATAGTCTAGATCACTCCTGATATATCTATCCCTATTTGATCGTGAAGTTTCATTACAATCGGTTCAGCTATTTCAAAGATTAGCCCGGATAGACAGACAGACAGACATACAGACAAACAGACAGGGAAAAGTATAATAAAATATATACATAATTAAAATAATATAAAACATAATTCTCCATCTACAGTTTAAACTCAATATAATATCTATCATACACTCCTTTATTATATCATAATATATATTTTATACGTGGTAGGGTCATAGTATAGTTGTAGCACGAATGGGTCGGCTCGATCGGGGAAGGACCACGCTCTCACAGAATACCAGTGTAACACGGCAGCTTAATGCTGCTGCGTTTTCTATGGTGAGTGTAGAGAACCGGAGACCCTTTTTACTGGAAACGAGGCCTTCTATCTTAGTCCTCACGGCTGACAACGGCACTGTATTTTAATTAGTAAACGAAGATAAATGTAGATGTCAATGGGTCACAGCAACCATTTACCTCCAGGTGTTAATTCAATAAATCAAAAATTAAAAAAGTATTTCGCTCTACTGTGTGCCCGAAATTTTCTTTTTCTTCTATGTGTTGAACAGGGAAGAATTTTTCAAATGAATTAATTCCTTCTTTCAGATCGCACTACTTCTCGCTGGGATAATCGCATTAAAGAAAATAATATCGCAGAAGAACGGCGGTGGCGGCGGTGACAGCCACGGCTGGTCATCTAGTGGTGGAGGTAGCAGCGGCGGTTGGGACCGAAGGTCCTATAACGATGTATCAGATCTAGCGTATTCTGCTTATAAAACTAAATAATATTAGTAACGTCACTATTACTGATAGCGGCAGAGTGTTTATGTATCAAAATTCTGAATAATTTATACTTTATTTATTTATTGTATAGTTAAAAAAAGATTAATTAAGTTGTTGTAAAGACCAATAGTATTTACGTTTTAATCACATAAAACCTTTTACGTAAATCTTCATAATTCTCTTCCCAGTTCCTATTTCTGCAGCCTTATGTGTGTATACTGTTAAACAGATAGATATATCAAGATCCTCCCGCAAAGTATTCAATACATAGGTATCCTCCAAATTTTTGCACACAGCGTGTTCTTGAGTCAATTGTATTCGTAGTCAATTTAAATGATTCTTTCAAGTTGGGCAATACCTAAAATTTGGAAGGAAATCTTCCATAGGGGGAAAAATAGGGAATGATATTATTAATATAGCTTAACATTTTAGACATCGCAGTTGTTATTTTTATTTACATAATTCATAAAAAACACGTAACACTGTTTTTTTTAAGGCGAACAAACAGTATTATTATTAATATTATTTGATTTTCAGTTTATAACATTAAATTTAAATATAATAAGACATATTATTAAAAGATTTTTATAATTAAAAATTTATAAATTTTATACAATTTTTAGATTTTCCATGGATTCAAATTGGTATATCATATTAGTCTCGTATGACAATGCATATTTTAAATAAATTACATATGTTACTATTAGAATATCTTTATTTGGGATATTTGATTTTGAAATGTGTTTTTCATTTGTTATTATTTTTTGAAATCATTTAAGTAGCTGATAGCGTAGTAGTAAAACTAGTAATTACTTCCCTATTAGTGCGATGTGTTGAATTGTTAGTATTTGATAACAAAATAACAAAAATAACATTTCTATTTTATTTTGAATACCCCGGCCAATAAACCACGTTTTGTAACAACACTATAACAAAACGTGGTTTATTGATATTGTCGGGTTTATACTAAGGTTTAACAAAGTAATTTGAACCTGACACAATTAGTAAACTAGGTATGTTTCGTAAAAAGACGGAAGAGGTTTATTTAGAATTTTCAAAATATTTTTGGATCATTTGCGTAAATAAACATATTTGACCGAAGAAATTTTTACAATAATGAACCTTAATACTATGTAATAAAGGTAACTAAATACTTAATTATTAGATCAATATTTGGTTATATAACTTACAGCTATTTATTTTAGTAAATTAGTACATTATATCATAATTAAGTATTGTCTATCATTACATAGACAATGTCATGTACTTTTTATTAAAAGTTGTAAAGTTTATTATAGAACTGGAATGTGTTTTTTATAAAAAACTAATTTATTAAATTATTTCTTAAATAAATTTATTGTGTTTATAAATGCCGATATCTTTTTTCTTTTTTTTAATAAGTAGCCGTTAACAAGATAGCAAGTGGCTGTTATAACCTTATGGAATCATACAGTAACCTTAAAGATGGCTACAGATACTTGTTTTCTCCGTGAATTAAGATAAAATAACTCACAGTTTGTAATTACACCCCCATACCCCTCAATCACACAAAAATGAGTACACTGCTGTTTATAATTTAATTTAGTAATAATAATAATAATAATAATAATAATAATAAAACCATTTAATCAACTCAACAAACAGCACTGGCAAAAAATAAACAATCAACATGTACATATGTAGAAAACAGCAAGTATAATTAATATTAGCGAAAAAAAAAATAAAAGAAGAAAAACTATAACATTCAACAATAAATAAAAACAATGTACAGGAAATGTGAGCGTTGCAATGCTGAGTCGATAGGGTCAGCTGCTCAGCATAAGCTGACACCCCTATTGGGATGACCAGCGCTGGTATTCTGCAGAAACCCGTGTGTGTGTTAACGCGTCGGTCAGTGGCAGATGCGAGAGTGAAATTCTTAATGTAACGAAGGCGTAAATAAAATTGAATATTAATCATTTCCAGCGAATCTCTTAATGTAACAAAGGCATAAATAAAATTGAATAGTATTTGAGAATTGTATAATTAACAATCAATAGTGCGGCAACGATTTTTACATAAAATCGTAAACTGAACATATAATATAACCTAGTTTTTTCTTATGGGAGTTGTGCTTTTTTTTTAAGCTATCTTTTTTTGGATTTCCATAAGAAAAAGTCTGATTTTAAATCTAAACGACGATTTCGTTTGTGCGTTCCTAATTGGTGGTGGGATGTTATTCCAGCATTTGGTTGCTGCATATCGAAAGCTGCCTCTAAACATTGCGGATCTATGTCGCGGTATTTTTAGGTGGCGACTGCGATTACCGCTGATGTTCCCTCTGCTCCATTCTAATTTGCTGCTAAGATAACTAGGTGTCTGCGATGTCAAAATGCCAAAAAGTAGACATGCTAAATGGTGCTGTCTGCGGTATCTCATGTTTAAAATGTTGTGTTGATTCAAAAAGGGTGTTACGTGACTACGGGGTGGAATTCTAAAACAAAAGCGAGCGCAGGCATTTTGAACCCGTTGAATCAACTTTTCTGTTCTTACATACAAGCATGGGCCGTAAACTGTGTCGGAATAATTTAATTTAGATAGAACGAGAGAGTCTACTAGGCGTACCCGAAGTTCTTCACTTAGATACTGTCGAACGTTATACAGGACTTTTAATCTATAAAAACAGTTGCGGACTACCTTTGATATATGGTTCTCGTATCGCAAATTTGAGTCCAACTCTAAGCCGAGGTTACGAGCCTCAAAGACACGTTCTAAAACCTCAGCACCTAACTTCACTTCACAATTAAGGGGAACATTATTTACATGAAATTTCGATCCGAATACTATATACTTTGTTTTAGTAGGATTAAGAATTAGACAATTATTTGTTGACCATTCCAATATTCTACCAAGGTCCTCGTTAAGCGACTGCACTGCCGAGCGCCATTCGTTAGATTTAAAAGAAATATATATTTGTAAATCGTCCGCGTATAAGTGATATCTGCAAGATTTTATACAGTTTACGATATCTGTTGTGTAGAGTATAAATAATAGAGGAGATAAGATCGTTCCCTGCGGAGTTCCTCTTGTTAAGGGGCTATACGTTGAACGAAGCGGTCGACCGTCTACTTGAGTGATTTCAACATATTGACCACGACCCGTAAGGTAGCTATGAAACCAACTGACCGTATCGGCATCAAAACCATAATATGTCATCTTAGCTAGTAGTAATTGAGTATTCATGCAATCAAAGGCCCTTGAAAAATCTAGAAGTACTAGTAAGGTACACATACCAGCATCCTGTGCATTAATAATATTGTCTGTAACATCTAGAAGAGCTGTGGTTGTGCTATGGTTTTTTCTAAATCCAGACTGAAATTCGGAAAGTATTTTGTTACTTTCAAGGTATTCCCTAAGTTGCATCGCAACAGCTTTCTCAACAATTTTTGACAAACAGGGTAATATGCTAATGGGTCGTAGGTCCTTAGGTTCCTGTGGGTTTGAGTTTTTAGGCAGTGGCCTAACGATGGCCGTCTTCCAGACGTCTGGAAAGGTAGAAGTTACTATTGAACAATTAACGATAGATGCGATAGCACCTAGTGACTGTGGCAAGGTTCTAAGTAGCATTCCCAGAGAGATCCCATCTATGCCCTCTGCTTTCGATTTAAGGTTTAGTATAATTTTCTAAATAATGTCTTGTTCAACATAATGAAGGGAGAATTTTATATCTCCTATAAAACGGTTGCTATTGAAAAACAATAAAACTGAGGGCGAAACAGAGGAGGTCCCGGGTATATCAAGAAAATGTTTGTTAATTATGTTGGGATCTGTGCGTTGGGATGCGCAGGTAAATGATAATTTTGTTTAGGAGGCAAAACAGATGATTTTAAGTTGCGCCATAGCATTTTTGGTTTATTTAAATTATTATTTATATACTGATTGAAGTATGCTTTCTTTTCATGATGAATTGATTGTACAACTATAGTTTTAAGATTTTTATAATACGTCCTATGCGACTCCATTTTTGATTTCAAATATCGCGAGTGAGCAGCATTCCGTAATCGGATCATAAGCTTTATATTGTCTGTTACCCATGGATGAGGTTGCTCCTTAAGTACAATTCTTTTTATGGGAGCTATTAAATCTAATAAAGTAATAATATGAGAATTAAACGTATTCACTATTTGGTTAACATCACACATTTGTTCCAATGAATTCCAGCTAATTGAGTCTAAACAAGAATTAAGTATATCAATCGGTACGTCATTAAGAGGTCTGCATATAAGTCTTCTCGGAAATGTTTTTTCTCTTTTACAGCATACTTCACAAGTTAACATTACATGATTGCTAAGGGGCGCAACTGGTTCCAACGTAACATGTTGCGTTCCAGTATTTGTACATATTATATCTATGATGGATTCGCTATGGTCCGTGTAATGTGTAGGAGACATAACTATTTGCTGCAGATCTACACTGCTTAAAAATATTTTAAGTTTATGAACCTTACTATCATTTAAACCAAGAATATTTATGTTAAAATCGCCGAGCAAAATAAAAAAATCACACGAAGCTAACGAACTTATAGTTAAATTACCGCAAACAATCGGTGCATCTACCCATAAATTAATTAGATTTGAAAAACTTTACAAAAATAGGATGTACCTAGTTTAAAATTAGTAAGTAAAAATAATTATAACATTTATTTTTTTATTTCATTATCATCATCAGTACAGCCCTTCACGAATCCACTGCTGAACATAGGCCTTCCCCAAGGAATGCCACAAAGCACGGTCCTGAGCCACCTGCATCCATCGACTTCCTGCATGTCTCACCAGGTCGTCACTCCATCTAGTAGGGGGACGCCCTACACTTCGCCTGCTGGTACGAGGCTGCCACTCGAGAACCTTTCTTCCTCATCGGTTGTCGGTTCTTCGTGCTTTATGGCCGGCCCATTGCCACTTCAGCTTACTAATCCTAATTCTGTAATAAATATTTTATTTATTTATTACAGAATTTTTTTTTGG